AAACCTGCAGCGGGACCACGTTGACTCATATCACCCCACCATGATGCCGTTCACGTGTCAGGAGACACTGTCCTCTCTTACAACAACAAGACAAGGCTCCAGAGAAACAAGCCTTTCATCACCTTCCTCCCTGTTCAGGCTCATCCTGGCTACTGTTCCTCACTACTTCTGTCTGTGTTGATGGTCTCATGTGGGACACAAACAGTTAGATGAGTCTCTGGTAGTTTGAGGTCAGCTTGGTGTGTCAGGGTCTTATTAACCAGGCTGACAGTGGGACAGAGAAAAGGTTTCCAGCTCCTCTACAGACTGATGGTCTGTGGCTGCAGCCTCTTCATACCTGAGAGTCTCCAGTCTCCACTGAGGATCCTCCAGTCCAGCAGACAGCAGCTTCACTCCTGAGCCTCCTGGATGATTGTAGCTCAGGTCCAGCTCTCTCAGATGGGAGGGGTTGGAGCTCAGAGCTGAGGCCAGAGAAGAACAGCCTTCTTCTGTGATCAGACAGCCTGACAGCCTGCAGACACACAACACATGTCACATGATCTGAGGGAGCTGTGAGGACTAGAAGGTCACTGCAGGACTGAGATGCTATCAGGTACAGAGGGGTCACATTAACATGGTGTTATGTAACGAGAGGCTGGGTCCTGGACGGCTGGGTCCTGGCCTTCATAAGGGTTAGAGACACAGCCAGTGGGGTATGAGAGAGACCAGACCGCCGTAGGAGGATATCGTGGAGGAAGACTGTATATTCTTGTGAGTTGGATTTATGATTCCCCTCCGAAGACGAGACATTATTTAAGATTGACCGGAGCCTGAGTTACCCTTTTTGGACCACTGTTTTTGTTGATTCCAGAGAATGTGAATAAAACCTTCTGTTTATATTTGAACCTGGTGTCCTCTCACTGCTTGAACTACCCCGGTGAGAGCGGCGGCGCCTCTCGTGACATCACAATGGTTACTGACTGGTTTTCAGTCACAACTAAACACCAACTAATGTACATCAACAATCTGATAATATTACTGATAACTATGATTAATCTCAAATATTTCAATTTGTAACATTATATTGGAAATCAACACTATCACATGTTCATGAAATATTTGGAAATGACATATTTGATTTGAATCATTCAAGCAGAAAGTATCTTAAGAAGGTCAGACAAATATCAGGGATATAAATAAACCAGGTGAACATTGATTGAATCCTGACCTGAGAGTCTCCAGGTCACAGCGTGGATTCTCCAGTCCAACACACAGCAGCTTCACTCCTGAATCCCGCAGGTCGTTGTTACTCAGGTCCAGCTCTCTCAGATGGGAGGGGTTGGAGCTCAGAGCTGAAGCCAGAGAAGAACAGCCTTCCTCTGTGATCAGACAGCCTGACAGCCTGCAGACACACAACACAACACACATGTCACATGATATGAGAGAGCTGTGAGGACTAGAAGGTCACTGCAGGACTGAGATACTATCAGGTACAGAGGGGTCACATTAACATGGTTACTGACTGGTTTCCAGTCACAACTAAACACCCACTAATGTTCATCAACAATCTGACAATAATACTGAGAACATAAATACCTACATAGAATAAATGTTTGATGTAAATAATGCAAGCAGAAAGAATCTTACGAAAGTCAGGAATTTATCTAAATAAAAGATACCGTGTTGAATCCTGACCTGAGAGTCTCCAGGTCACAGTGTGGACTCTCCAGTCCAACACACAGCAGCTTCAGTCCTGAATCCTGCAGGTTGTTGTTACTCAGGTCCAGCTCTCTCAGACTAGAGGAGTGTGAGCTGAGAACTGAGGACAGAGCTTCACAGCTTCTCTCTGAGAGGTTACAGTCACTCAGTCTGAAGAAACAACAATGAAGAAAATATAAACAATAAGTAGAAAAGATGGCAGCATGTTTAAGTCATGATGTGTGAATCTAATTCTCTGTACTTACAGAGCTTTGTTGGAGGCTTTGACCACTGGCAGCAGCCTCAGAAGAGCCGCCTCTGAAGCAGAGTATTTCTTCAGGTCAAACACCTCCAGATCTTCTTGTGATGACAGTAAGATGAAGACCAGAGCTGACCACTGAGCAGGAGACCGTTTATCTGTGGAGAGACGTCCTGAACTAAGGGACCGTTGGATCTCCTCCACTAGAGAAACATCATTCAGTTCATTCAGACAGTGGAACAGATTGATGCTTTTCTCTGGAGACACCTTCTTACTGATCTTCTTCTTGATGTACTGGACTGTCTCCTGATTAGTCTGTGAGCTACTTCCTGTCTGTGTCAACAGACCTCGTAGAAGAGTCTGATTGGTCTCCAGTGAAAGACCCAGGAGGAAGCGGAGGAACAAGTCCAGGTGTCCATTAGGACTCTGTAAGGCCTCGTCCACAGCACTCTGGTAGAGATGCTTTGGTTTAGGTTTGTCTCTAAAGACTTTAGACAAGAGGGAGGTTTTTTGATCTTTTAACAGCAAATTGACACCAGAGCTGTAGAAGGTCAGATGGACATGAAGAGCAGCCAGAAACTCCTGAACACTCAGATGGACGAAGCAGAACACCTTGTCCTGGTACAGTCCGCTCTCCTCTCTGAAGATCTGAGTGAACACTCCTGAGTACACTGAGGCTTCTGTGATATCGATGCCACACTCTGTCAGGTCGGATTTATAGAAGATCAGGTTGCCTTTCTGCAGCTGATCAAAGGCCAGTTTTCCCAGAGACTCGATCATCTTCCTGCTCTCTAGACTCCAGTGTGGATCCGTCTCAGCTCCTCCATCGTACTTGACCTTCTTCACTTTGGACTGAACCACCAGGAAGTGGATGTACATCTCAGTCAGGGTCTTGGGCAGCTCTCCTCCCTCTCTGGTCTTCATCTCCTCCAGAACTGTAGCTGTGATCCAGCAGAAGACTGGGATGTGGCATATGATGTGGAGGCTTCGTGAGGTCTTGATGTGAGAGATGATCCTGCTGGCCTGCTCCTCATCTCTGAACCTCTTCATGAAGTACTCCTCCTTCTGGGGGTCGGTGAACCCTCTGACCTCTGTCACCATGCCAACACACTCAGGAGGGATCTGATTGGCTGCTGCAGGTCGTGTGGTTATCCAGAGGCGAGCAGAGGGAAGCAGCTTCCCCCTGATGAGGTTTGTGAGGAGCACATCCAGTGAGGAGGACTCTGTGACATCAGTCAGGATCTCATTGCTGTGGAAGTCCAGAGGAAGTCGACACTCATCCAGACCGTCAAAGATGATCATTACCTGGAACTTCTCAAACCTGCAGATTCCTGCTGCTTTGGTTTCACTGAAGAAGTGATGAACAAGTCCCACCAAGCTGAACTTCTTCTCTCTCAGCACATTCAGCTCTCTGAAGGTGAATGGAAATGTGAACTGTATGTCCTGGTGGTCTTTGTCTTCAGCCCAGTTCAGAGTGAACTTCTGCGTTAAGACGGTTTTCCCGATGCCAGCCACTCCCTTAGTCATCACTGTTCTGATTGGTTCCTCTCCTCCAGCTGAGGCTTTGAAGAGGTCTTCTAGTCTGATGGTTTTTTCTGGTCTGGCTGGTCTTCTGGATGCTGTTTCAATCTGTCTGACCTCATGTTCTTCATTGACCTCTGCAGTCCCTCCCTCTGTGATGTAGAGCTCTGTGTAGATCTCATTCAGAAGGGTTGGGTTTCCTGCTTTAGCGATCCCCTCAAACACACACTGGAACTTCTTCTTCAGGTTGGATTTGAGTTCACGCTGACAAACTGTAGGAAGAAGTCCTGAATGAAGACAACAAAGAAGATCAATGAGTCAAAGAATAGATTTCAACACGTCCTTTCCTCAGAGAATGACTATGAATATATTCTGTCCGTCTCTTGAGACACTAGTGAAGGTCTCAATTATCAGCATGGTAAGTCTGTAGAGAAATCCTCTTACTGCTCTGCAGACGCTCAGCCAGCTCCTCCTGCTTCATTCTCCTCAGGGCAGACGGACCTGTGGGAACCTCTGAGCTCTCCTGGTCCTCGCTGTGGAGAAACATGAACCATCAGCCCACATGGTGTTTGGACCATCAACACCAATACAACATTAGTTAAAGATATTTGCTTCTGTCATGATTGATCATCATGAAAACCAGATGCTGAAGACTGTCGATGATGACGGACAGTTTATTAGTTGAGTGACAGTTAGTCATCAGTTTCATCTGTTTTTAGTTCATACTGTGGGTCATAAAAACAACATCTGCAGACCTCTGCGTCTGGTACAAAGTCCTATGGAACTACTCCAAACCTCTTCAGTCCGTCCCCTGACCTCTAGAAGTCTCCTTAGATCTTCTGAAACTAGTCTTTGGACCTTTTCACAGAGTCTACTGACGATACTTTGTCCAAACCTCTGCATGGACTCCAGAGACCACGTCAGCTGGTCCACAGAGCACCGAGTTTATTCTAATCACATGACCTGCGCGCCTTCCCTAAGCAGTCGCGTCTGTGCATTAACTTTGCATTGAATCCACACGCGCAAATAATTTGCTTTGCTTTTGGTGTGAACGCAGGATGAGACCTTTTCGACCACAGCGTTTCTCCAGGCAGCAGCAGAGTTTATTCTAATCACATGTTCATCTGTCTCCAGAAACTTGCAGCGGTCTCCAGATGTGACCTGATCCTGATGTGGAGGAACCAGCTCACATTGTGTTTACATCTGAGGACGTTTACATTTAATGATTCACACTAAAACACTCACAGACCAGTTAGATGAAGATAATGAGTTCTGTCATGATGATCGTCACTTTTAACAATGTACGGACATTCTGTAATTCATAACTAAGGATCTTCAGTTCTTCATCTGTTTAAGAACTTACTCTGGGTCATAAGAACGGCGTCCATCTTTGAAGTCAATCAGATGACCAATAGACTGATCATCTTTGAAGTCAATCAGATGACCAATAGACTGATCATCTTTGAAGTCAATCAGATGACCAATAGACTGATCATCTTTGAAGTCAATCAGATGACCAATAGACTGATCATCTTTGAAGTCAATCAGATGACCAATAGACTGATCATCTTTGAAGTCAATCAGATGACCAATAGACTGATCATCTTTGAAGTTAATCGATCGATGAGGAGACTGATCTCTCTTCATGGACAAACATCTGGGTTCAGGAGACTTTCCTCTCTGCTGATGTGACCTGAAAGAAACACTGAGATTACATCATCACATCATCATCTAATCACGAAGCATCAGCTCACATGGTGTCCGTCCTCAGAGACCAAAACAAGGTAAAAGGTCCATGACGTGAGGTCTGGATGTGGACCACATGACTCCCTGTAGTGGTTCAGGTCTACTGGTGCTGCTGGTCCCACTGAGAATCAACAGCTCAGTCTATCAGCTCACTGTTTGGTTTATATATATATATGTATGTATACACACACACACACACACACACACACACACACACACACACACACACACACACACAGATATAACTGTACTAAGCGCGTCAGTGTTCATAACGTTTAATCTCTCAGACTGATGCTTGTTCTCCGGTAACGTTTCGTCTCTTTGAGAGCAGAGTTCAGATGTTTAGAACAAGCTGCTCACTGTGGATACAGACAAGATGTTCAACGTTAACGTCCTGTCTGTATCCACAGTGAGCAGCTTGTTACTGTCCATCATTGAGCATTAAGACTAACAATGTTTTAATTAAAGGACACGAGGAGACCGTCATCGAGACTCTAAACCGGCAGCTTTAAAGAGACTTATTTTTACAAATATGAATTATTGAATTTTCTCTGTAAGACATTTGATGTGTGGTCATCTGCTTCCATATACAGTAATCCCTCGTTTATCGCGGGGGTTACGTTCCGAAAATGACCCGCGATAAGTGAAATCCGCGAAATAGAAAACTTTTTTTTTTTTTACAATTAGCAACTATTACATGTATACAAATACAGTGACTCGCGTGTAGGCCGTTTCACTGCTCTTCAGACTGGGCCGCTGCATCCTGACTGCGCTCTGCAGTGTTCTCTTCTTCTGAAGCCCGCGGTGCAGGTGTGTTTGTTCGGGAGAAGAACATAGTGATAGGCAGCTGTTGTCGCTCTTTTTTCTTCTTTGCAAAAAGATCCTTGTACACCGACATGCCACCATCGATTACGTTGGAGAACTGTAATGAACGGCTCGGGAGTGAGTTTTTAGCGAATCAGAATGCAGAGCACAATGCACCAAAAAAAAAAAAAATGCAATATGAAAATCCGCGAAATAGCGAATCCGCGATAAGTGAACCGCGAAGTGGCGAGGGATCACTGTACTTGAAAATGTTTATATTTATTTCCTTGTTTGCAAGAGTTCACACATTGATCACTATCATAGATATTAAATCCGATGTTAATCACTAATGATGTCATCTTACTGTTGCCTCATTGATCAATGTATTATAGACATCAATCAATCACTATTGAAGTAGAGACACAGAGGAGGTTCAGGTACATTTGAATTGAATTTACAGTGATGTTTGTGCATTTAACTGGACGAGGACGACACACTGATGATCCTCCTCTTGATGTTTGAGTCACAAGGAGAAGTTTGTGGAATGTGTTACTATCCAGTAAAACATTAACGGATTCATTATTGTTGCTATCAAACCTTATGAAACCTTTATAGAGCTCATGTGTGATGTAATACAACGTGTGTTTCTTCCATCCAATAATATGTTAAATACACTCCTGTCAGTGTGATCCAGTAAAGTTCAGCAGCACCACAAACTACAGCTGCTCCTCTGCATCTTCTTCAGATGTTCTACTGGACAACGACTCTGATCTGACACACTGAGATACTTTGGCTGATTATTTTATGTCTGATAGAAATAAATAACAGTCAAGAACTGTATCAAAATCCGTGGTGACGTCATCACGTCAGCTGCTGTTGAAGGTGGAAATGACCGTTCTCTGTTCTCTTGAACCTGTGAGTCCGTCTCCTGACAACACAAGTCCGTCCTCAATACCTGAGACCCTCACCTTGCATCCACAGGGGGACGGACATCTTTGAACTCAAGAGGAGGCTCCGTAGACCGGTTACTCTTCATGGACACACAGCTGGGTGCAGGTCCAGACACCGGACCAGGTTGAGGATCAGGTGCAGGTCCTGGTCTCTGATGGGTCCTGGTCACACATGTAGAAGCAGAGTCACTGAGTCAAAGACGTTGGGACATGGAGACGAGTGGAGGACAGTTGGAGATGGTCCTCTCACCTCTGAGCTGTGGTCCTGCTGTCATGTTCCCCACACAGAGGAGCTTCAGAGGGACGGACTCCGTCCTCTGGGTCCTCAGCCTGATTCATAGCAGAGTCCACAGCTTCACAGCTTCACACCAACCTGCTGGGAGAACTCACACGTTATTGAAAAAACACAAATTTCATTTCCATAAATCCTATGAAGCGAAACAGTAACACAGCAGCTGAACCAGAAGTGCACATTTTCACAGTAGAGGTCCAGGAATGGAACGTTTGTACACCAGATATTCGTCTGTGATCCAGCGTATAGCAGGGCAGCATATGAAGAAACGTTAGCTCGTTAATATAAATGTATGTAGATTATTACAGATGTTTTTGTAGCCAAAGTCAGTCCAAAGGTTTGGACACTTTCTCATTGAATCGAATGAGTAAACGTGTCCAAACGTTTGACTGTTCATCTCATTTAAGAACCAATCGGTGTGGTTGAGGTTTGGGCTTTGGGCCGTTTTACAACATGAACGCTTTGATGTGAACTATTCCATTGTAGCCCAGGCTGCATGTTTAGGCTCATTGTCCCATTGTCCCATGTGCTGTGCTACATGATGTGGCTCAGCTTCCAAACGCGCCTCGACCCCCTGACGCCGATGTTGGCCCAGACCCTGTCCCCGATCCCCGATCACTGCCGCCAGTCTCTCATCAGGAGGGGACAGCTCCGGTGTCCCCCCCGTGGAGACACACCTTGGAGATGACGCGCTAAACGCTTCTTTGCATCCACTTTGATGTCAGACCAGTTTTTCTGTGTTTGGGTCCGAGGTCGTGAGGCTGCAGCGTTGCTCTGCAGCCTTTTGCCCCTCAGGTGCCTTGTTGGCATCAGTGATCCACACTGTGTCCTCCAAAGAGCGTCTTACGTCTCCTTCCACCTCCCAGTGATCATCTCCACTTCACACTGAGTCAAGTGACGTCTCTTCGTTTTCCTCTCAGTGTTTGTCATGATTTCGCAATCGATGAATATTCATTTGTGGGCGTTCCACAGACTATATATGGGCAGCTGTGGGCGTTCCACAGACTATATAAGGGCAGATGTGGGCGTGACATGAAGCCGCAGAAGCTGCGCTGCGTTTAGACGTGATTGTGATTTAAGGGGAAACTGCGTAGGACGTTTTATACGTCTGAATGTTTCTGTGCGTCCGCACGTCCTACGTTTCATCCGCACGACACTTCTGGTGCAAATCCTTTTATAAACGAGGCCCCCGGCGTCTTGCTCAGGGACACTTCCACATGGGACACGGGGCAGCCGGGACTCGAACCAGCAGCCTTGTGGTTCCTGGGTCTCCCTCTCTAGCGCTGCACCACGTCGATGTATCTGCATGTTGTCAACTACTGATAACACACTCCTACTGGACCACGGCTACTTATTTATATTCACTAAGTGACGTTTCTTCATGTTACTCTGCTATATTATTATGTATTATTACATATTGTTGCGTCACACATGGATTTCTGTCGTACCAACCTTCTATTGCGTTGCTCATATTTACGCATTTCTTCCCACAAAAGCTCTTCAGTCTGATCCGTCCTCTCGTCAACGTTCTTCCTTTTAATAACGGCCGTATTGTGCTGTGAAAACGGAGACATGAGACTCTAAAGGACGTAGTCAGCAGACCGATCACAGCCTGGTGCTGCAGGACGCTTTACACGCAAGGAGGTGTGGAAAGACACGCAAGGGACACGCAGGGGACACGCGAGGGGTCATGCGAGGGGACACGCAGGGGACACGCGAGGGGTCACGCGAGGGGACACGCAGGGGACACGGGAGGGGTCACGCGAGGGGACATGCAGGGGACACGCGAGGAGGTGTGGGAAGCCGCGATGGGACGTTGGCGTGGAGGCTCCGGAGCTCGTGTCCAGTCATCCAGTCGAGGCTCGTGGTGGCGATGACGTATGTGGTGACGTTGGGAGCCTCGCGAACCAGCCGCACCACGTGACTGATTCAGGACGTGGTTCTTGGGTCTGGAGCGCGAGTCCAAATAAAACGGGCAGCGAAACGAGTCCCCGGTACGTTTTGTGTCCTGAGGACTTTGGTTACAAACTATTCCAGCTTCTTTCTTCTGTGATGGAAGCAGCAGGAGCTGATCCTCATAATAAGATGTGCACGTATAATATGTTATTAATAACTAGTGTAATATACTGTAAATACAGCTGACTCAGCGTATCGCGTGTTCTAATGTCTTCTTATTTCTGGTATTTTAAAGGTGACGTGTCTGTTGTGTTAAAGGAGCTTGGATACAGTCACAGCTCATCTATGCTGAGGCATCATAGAGGCCTGCATGAGAACAAGGAGAACAACCAAGGTGGACCAAACCTCGGACGTTTGAGAAGAACATAAAAAGTCTCCTAACGTGTGAACTTGCTGTGACTTCATCTGCTCCCCGTGAAGTCTGTAAAGCAGGTGAAACACTCTCAGGAAAAGAAACCGCCTGAAGCCCTGTGGACAAGTTGCTCCTTTTAAAGGAAAATGAATGAAATGTGTCACGTGTCACATGTTGTCACTAGTAACATAAGCACAGTCACAAACCCAAAGGTCCATTCGTATGTGTCCGTGGCTCGATGGGTAGAGACGCTTACACAGCGACCGCACGGCTGCTGGTTCCATCTCTGGATGTTTTATTCTTTCACTTTTCATATCACATTTGTTTCCACTTTCCCTTTTGAACCCGCCATCGTGTCATGAAGACAGACGCCGTATTAATACGTTCATAAGTTGTGTATCACGCGTCACAAACATCATTCATTTAGCCAATTCAACGCTTCACACAGCAAAGCCATGGTGTCCTTTCATTTACTGTCCACTTGGTGGCGCAGTGGAGCAAATGAAGCGCCATGAAGCTTCATAAAGCTTCATAAAGCTTCACAAAGCTTCATAAAGCTTCACAAAGCTTCATCTCGCCATCAGCAGTGAAAAGGCAGTAAGGGACACGCAGGGGGCTTGTTGAGTGTTACAATAGAAACATGGACGCTCCCGCTAGAATGAAATTACACTTGAACTATAAATGCACAGTAATAATGGGTGAAGCCGCTTAAAGGCCGGAATGCACCAACAACGTGTATTCAAGTCCCAACACCAGCACACGAAGATGCTGCAAAGAGGTGCAGCACTATCGGGTCAAATGCGGTCCGACAGGAAGCACCTGTTCCCCTTTCTAAGAGCAACGTGTCCACACATAGAACTACGCCTCCCGCTCATATTATTATTACCTGGCAAACATCCTGATAAGAAGAACTCATGAACAACGGGAGATGATCCGAGAGCCCAGAGGGATGGACGTCCCTGTGCTCCAATGGGGCTCTCCGAGGGTTCTAAGCAGGAACCGCCTCCTTCTTGATAACCAATCAAAATGCTCCGAGAGACTAAACGATACGAGCGCACTTTGTGTTAAGCGCCTTTCTTCGTGTTGTAGTTACACTGCAGGACAGAATACTGTCGTTACAAATAACCGTTGTCATATTGCTGTGATTTAAGTCTCCAGTCTCGTCTTGTTTTGCTCGCAGTCTCTTGTGTCTCTCTGCAAACACAGAAGCACAAACTAGGCCTCAAAATGTGCGCAGATTCACTTCCGTTTTAAAGGAAAAAAACAAAGGTCATTTACGGAAATCGATCGGTTTTTTCGCTTCTGGATTTGGACAGAAAAGAAAATTTCCTTTGTTGGTTTAAAACGAAAAGACAATAAAACGGTGGTATTTCCGTATTTACCGTCTATAAACGGTAAAACGTTCACGGCCCGTTAACACACTAAAAACACACTAAACACACACTGTGTATCATACTCACCGGATCTGAACACTTTAACATGTTAAAGTTGAACTCTGGTGACTTTCTACGCGCTCTCTCTCTCTCTCTCTCTCTCTCTCTCTCTCTCTCTCTCCGTCTTCTTCTTCTTCTTCTGCCTCGCTTCCTTTAGGGGAGGAGCCAGAAATGATGACGTCGGAAGCCGCCCGGCTGTACCACGTGACTGCTTCAGGAAGCGGTTCAGAATTATCCGGAAGGTTTGACAGCAATAAAATAAAAAACCTCAGGCTCCATTCAAAATGTGGGTTGTTGGCGGAGAGTTGAGAGTTTGTATAGTTTATATAGTTAAGAGTTTAGAGACAGAGATAGTTTGTATAGTTTATATAGTTAAGAGTTTAGAGACAGAGATAGTTTGTATAGTTTATATAGTTAAGAGTTTAGAGACAGAGACAGTTTGTATAGTTTATATAGTTAAGAGTTTAGAGACAGAGACAGTTTGTATAGTTTATATAGTTAAGAGTTTAGAGACAGAGACAGTTTGTATAGTTTATATAGTTAAGAGTTTAGAGACAGATAGTTTGTATAGTTTATATAGTTAAGAGTTTAGAGACAGAGGTCACGGTCGAGGGCACCACTAGTTATATGACTTACCAGGTAGTTGGTTTCAAAACTCGTCGTATCGTGGTGACGTCAGAATGAGGCTCTTCTGGCCTCACATAACCCCCCAAAGACTTGCAGATGTTTCCAGGTGCTGACTCCGCCCACCCTGCTGTGGTACAGATGTTACACGACCCCATCGAATGTCCCGATCTGATGCTCGGTCCGCACGGCAGCTTTTGCCTACTTTACCGACCCCGACTGCACGTAACTTCCTGCTCCTACAAACACAGCGCAGCGCTACGTCCCGACGCTAACTAGCATCACACCCCCCCAACACGCTTACTTAGAAATTAATTCACAAACAAACATTTACGTCATTAATTTCATTAACTTCACACTTAAAAAAAACAGACCACAAATCGTCTGTCTCATAATTTTGCCGGCAGCAGCCTTCTTAAATAAAACCAGTCGTACAAAATCCACTTCTTAATATTATTTGCTTTTTTGGTGGGGTAATCAATTTATATGTAATTTCTTCAATATATTTAGAATTAGCCCCTATTTGTGTCTTTTTTATTATTATTTCAAAGTAGGTTTTTGAGGCAATACTCTGTCTCTGTGTGAATTCAACTCCAGCTGAATCTATCGACTCTGCTGTGGTCCGTCTCTGTCCGGGATTCCCCCCCAGAACCCACGCGTCACAATGTGTATAAATCCTATAGTCAGTATTCAGATGTACACCCGTTACAGACATCGGTTGGACTACTATATAAAAACAAAGACTAAAGGAGGCGGGCAAACATCACGTGTAGTGTACATACAAACAAAAAAGAAAAAAATGAATATTGATTCAGTTTAGTTTGTTTTTTCACCTGTGCCTCCACAGAGCCACGGACTGCTGACTTCAAATCTCCATCTGCGTTTTGAACTATTAATGTGAATTTACAAAAAAGTGTTTTTGTAAATTCACTTAAACATCTTCAAATGGATCAATATTATTTTCGTATTCATTTTATTCTAATCCATGAAGATCTGAAGCTCTGTTAACCTTCACTGCTCTCCAAACTCACTGAAAGTGCTTCGGGGAATGTCAACTTTCTCTCTGCTGCTTTTGCTCTCTTCTCTCCGAGCTGCATGTAAAGAACAAAAGTTTTATTTAAATTGGAAACTTGAGTTGGTAGTTTGAGTTCAGAACAGCTATTCCTGTTGTGACGCCACAGAACTGCCACTTTTGCCACTGATGTGCTACTGTACCGCCGATCCCTCTGACTGAGAGCCACTGCCACAAGGAGGGTCTCGGCCCTGCTGTTTGCGCGACTGCTAGAATTTGGGATCGTCAACCCGTCACCTGCAGCTGAGGGCGAATTGTTTCTCTCTCCAGAAGCCTCTGCTGTCTGAATCGGCCCTCGTCTCGGTTACCGTGAATGCCCTTCTGTCAGCGCCAACGCATCGCATCCGGTTTTACACTGAAATGACACCTGACACAGAGAGAACCCCTTAAAAAAGGTTTGACAGCAACTATATGACCTCAGTTGGTCGCACACACCTGGGCGCAGACAATCTCTGCTGATGGGATAATTCTGGGAGACCAGCTGAAGCACATGTACATTACGTGTGTCTTCCTTCTAGAACTACTGCTTAAGCTCCATATGTGTGTTAGTGGAGGTAGAGTGTGAAGAGGTGTGTCTTTAGTCTGAAGATGTGAAGGCTCTCTGTGGTCCTGATGTCTTCAGAGACCTCCTTCCACCATTTAGGAGCAGGACAGCAAAGAGTGGAGATCTAGTGGAGTGTTTTGCTCTCAGTGAGGAGGAACAAGCAGTTTATCACATGCAGAGCGGAGAGGTCAGAGGTCGGGGTGTCGGGTTGGACCAGGTCCTGGATGTGAGCTGGACCCGATCCATTCACAGCCTGGTACGTGAGCACCATGTTTAGAACTGGATGTGGGCGGGGATACGAGTCTTCTGTTGTTGTTTGTCAATGTGTATAATTAAGTGCATTCAGTTAAATCAATGTAATGTAATCCGTTTATTTTGCAGTTCCTCTAAACGTCCCCAAGGTGGCGCTGAATGTGTTTGAGGCGAGCGCGGAAAACATGGAGAGCAGAGATGACGAAGAAGATGAGCATCGCTAGCACAGACTAGCTAGTTAGCTCAAGCTGTCATACGAACCTTTGGTTTGTTTTATAACCTTAAAGTTATTTGTGACAATATCACCAAGTTTTGTCTTTTCATTGTTTTGCAAGTAGATCAAATAAAACATGGAATATAACAAGTTATGGTGATTGTTACGGTGTTATGAAGAATTATCCTTTTTCTCTGCTAGCCCGATAACGCCGACATAGCTTGACGTAATGCCGGCTAATTCAGCAACGCGTGGCGGCCATTTTTGTTTAGATTAATTGTAAACCAGTTAAATGCCTCTTTTTCCCTCTATTTTCTCTCATTTCTTTTTAATATAGTAGCATTATAATTGCAAAACTGAGAACGATAATTATACTACTCAATGTTTTTTTTACTTTGTCTACTATTTTAATAAATGCTTTATAATCGATTTAATCTTTTAGATAACTGAAGTTTTTTGCAGTTTCAGGTTAATATTACAAAATAGAATCAACAAAAGTATTATAATAACAAGCTAACGTTACCCACCAATATATTTATTTATCAATGTACTTTACTATCGACATTACAGTGATATAACGCTTTACACACACGCACACACACACACACACACACACACACACACACACACACGCACACACACACACACACACACAGTGTTTGATGCTCAGATTGTGCGTCCGCTCGTTCGGAGCAGTTTGTTCTTTAGATTCAATATATTTGTTACTTTAGTATTTTTTATCGTTGTTCGATACTTATTTTGAACAAATAGTGAAGCATCTTTGTTCTTTTTCTCAGCATCTTCTTTCATGTGAGGTGAGTCAACCCATTTTACAACATTCTTCTTTAAAAGATGAGTTCTCTGGTTTCTGCTCAGTATCTGTAACACGTTTCAGGTTGACGGACTCTTACAGAACCAGTCGAACGAATTCCTCATTTAATCATTATTTTCCCTCCATCAGTCAGACTGTGAAATGAGAACCGTTAAAGTTTAAAAGTTTACTTTTATGCCTTTTGTCTAAAAGAAGATAGAAAATCTCTGTTTATTTCCCTCATTAATACAGCTGTATACGTATATTACTTGTGATGATTAAGCAGATATTACACTTTCTGCTGTATTCTGCAAACATTTCTTGTTTTTTTTATCGAGCATTAAACCGAAAACAAAAGGCACCAAAAGAGAAACTCGTGCGTGTTAATATAAACTGCAGTTAAAGTGACTTTATTCTATCATTTGAGAACATTTACTGTCTCGTTCCTGGTTTTATTGACGAGGGGACGACCTCTTTCTGAGGCCGGTTCCCAGCCGGGGGCTGATTGCTTGTTCCCAATGCGGGGGGTCGATGCTCCAACACCAGGCTTCCCTCCTCATGCGAACAATAAATGCATTTGAGAAACAGCAAAACTTTCTTTCTTTTTTACGCTCACGTGTGTGTTTTTTGAAATTTACAAAATAAAATCCAAACTTCAACCTAAAACAGAATTCTGACCCGGCGACAATTTCACTCATTGAGCAATCAGCTGTTTCCACTGACATTAGTCAGTAGCTAGCTGACTAGCTACTAGCTAGCTAACTAGCTACTGACTCACTAGTCAGCTGACGTAAAAGAACAATTCAAACTTCAACTGTAACTTTTACCGGCGAACATCAACGCCCATTATTCACTTTTTACTTTGAGACATTTTCATAGATTGTTATGGGGAATAATCGCCGAGAAAACCGAACCCAAACGTTGAAAACCGCGCGTGTGTGTTTGCGTGTGTGTTTGCGTATGTGTGTGTGTGTTCATGTGACCGTCCTTCACCGTCACTGATCAGGGTTCAGCGGCTCGTAAGCGATCAGAAACGACATCTATTGATCAGCCTATAAAAAGTCCAGCAGCAGGAAGTAAAAGCTGCACAAGTAACACTTTTATTTAATGATGCATTTACATTCATTACTTTCTCAGGAACTCGGGGTCAAGGTTCATCAGAAACTCATTTCTATAATGAACCCAAATAGCCATTTGGTAAAATCGGTCCCATAATTCAACCTTTTTAGAAGAATAAACCGGTTTGTCCAAATGACTGGATCTCGTCATGCTAGCTCCGCATGGAATTCTGGGAAATCGCAGGTCTCTTCCTCTTTCAGGATGGATCATCATGACTCGCAGCGAGGGAGGAGTCGAGGTCACAGGCGCCATGACGACGAGGACGGTGAGCAAACAGGAAACAGAATATTTAACCTTTGAGGACTGTTATCTTCACAGTGATTGGATGAGTTCATCCAGCGGGAGCTGAAGTTTGTTCTCTGTGAGACTCGGTGCTTCTTTTTCTCCAAAAAACAACAACTACGACTCCTTGTAAAGGAATGTCCAGTCTTTGTGCTAAGCTAACGCTAAAGCTAAGCTGGATGAGCAGAAATGGAGAACAGAAGATTTTCAAAATCGTTGTGAAAACGTTTATTTCCCAAAAAGGTCAAATTGTCGTTTCCTTTTCTCCCGTCACTTGTTTCTCTCTCTGTGGTTTTGCTTTTCTCTTGAAATGAAACGCTGCGACTTCATTTCTAGAAGTAGAGAAGAACAAGTTTTTAGTGCAGAATAACACTGTATGATGACATCAATCATATAAAAAGATACAAATCAAGTTGAACAATGATTCAAACACTATATAAATACATGAGTTATAAATAATATAATCTATTGACACACTTACATCTTCTCTGCTCCGTTTTCACTTCCTGTAGTTCGGTGTGTTTCTCTTATTTGTGGTCACATGACTGCTGGTCTCAGATCATCGTCACAGTTTCACTGAGAACTATTTGTTGTCAGAAGTTTTAGCGTGTTTACTGATGATTTCTCATGACTACATCATCTCATCGTCAAGTCCTATCTCCTCTTTTGATCCCCTCTGACCTTCAGAGGCCCAGGCGCTCTTCATCGGCGTGCCGGCTCCCCACCGACGGAAAAGGCGCCGGCATCACTCCAACGCCAGCGACGCGGACCGCGAGTCGCGGCACTCGCATTACGACCACCACACGCACCGCGAGCACTCGCACCGCGGCAACTACCAGGACCGGGAGGAGCACTACGGCGACGACGAGGGCAGCGGGGAGCGCCACGGCCACGCCGACCCCTCAGGTCAGAGCCGACGTGGGTCACGTTGTCCTGAACTCCACAGGACGTCAAACAATGCTCACTCAGCTTAACAGACCCAGACGGGTCCACTCGCATGAAAGCAAAAACTAACAAAAGAGTTGGAAGAAATTGCAGAGTTGAGTATCGTGGACTATTGTTGAGTATCGTTGAGTATCGTTGAGTATCGTAGAGTATCGTGGAGTATCGTGGAGTATCGTGGACTATTGTTGAGTGTGGTGGACACGGAGAAACAAATATACGCCGGCCAGCAGCGATGGTCAGGGACGTAACAGGGATGAATATATGTAGGTGTATGTGTGTGTGTGTGTGTATACGTATCAGAGCTGCCAACTTGGACCTTGGAGTGAGATTTTGTCGGGGGTCACCCCACTAGGGGGGGATGCTACCCTATGGCCGCCGGGGGGCTCCATCTACCGTCGGGGAGGTTGAAGAGGAACCAACGCGCCTCGGACCGAAATCGGACTTTTTCTCTTTTAGCGGGATAAATTGGTTGTGTGGAGTGAGTGCGTGTGAAAACATGCAGCGTCACACAAAACCGTGAGAGTTGGCAGCTCTGCAGATACATATTTATATTGGGGATGTCAAAGTTAACGCGTTAATCTATGAAATGATTGTGGCTGAGATTAATGCGATAAAATATTGTAACGCAGCTTTGTTCACTTCCAGTGTGCGTTTAGCCGCCGCGCGCTGCAGTCAGTCAGACGCTGGAGATGGAGATGCTTTTTGAACTGTGCAGAAAAATCCCTCCACTTGTCAAACAGAAGAGGGACAAGTGCACACGGGCCACTTCAGGACTGCTAGGCTAAGCTAGCTGCTAGGCTAGACTAGGTGCTAAGCTACTTCCATCTCATCATCTACGCTTATTTTTTTATGTTAATCCATTGACATCCCTAATATACATGTAGACACATCTATATATCTCTCTCTATATATATATATATATATATATATATATATATATATATATATATATAAATATATATCGATGTATTAGTAAATTCATACATGTACATGTGTCAGCTGTGGTTCCTGATCCCAAAGGGACCGTGAAGCCTGTAAGCTGATTAAAGTTGAGGAACTCCAAGCTGTGCGTGCGTGTGCGTGTGCGTGTGTGTGCGTGCGTGTGTGTGTGTGTGTGTGTGTGTGTGTGTGTGTGCTTCTGGGAGGAGGGCCCTAGAAGGTCCTGTGGAGTGTGTCGCCCTTCTTAAGGCCTCTGGGCTCTTTGCTGGTTTCAGCAGCTCAGAAAAGACCTTTTCTCCTTTTTTTTTGTTTCCTCCGACTGATTTAACGGTAAAAACGGCGTATTGAATAATCGGAGTAAGCAAAGCGTCCGCGGCGCGAGACTGAGAGCAGCGAGGGACAGCTGGAGCGCTCATGGTGGACATCTGAGGACGAGACGACAGGAAGCCAGACCGCCAAAACAAAGCTGAGGGTTCGGCCTCAAAGCCAGCGAGCATGTCGCTTCCCTCCGTCACGGGTTCCAGCTGGACCTTACCTGGCTCCCGGACAGGTGAGGGGGGGGGCACCTCGGTTATGAACATGGACTCAATCAGCTGTTACGCCTCGAGGACTGAGGGACTTGTTTAGTTACTTGAAACCGCAGAACTCTGGTTTCTCTGGACTCGATGCTTAATATAATGTGATTGATAGAATAGTTTTAAACTTTACTAAAATGGTTCAAATGGTTTTCTTTGACTTTGATAGGATTAAAATCACAAAAGTAAAAAGTAACATGAAGAAAATAAATATGATAAAAACAATAAAATTGTATCGTATAAAAAAAAAAAGGGTCACTATGAAGAAGCAAAATCTACAGTTGACTTTAAAGAAAAAGGAAATGTTGAGACCTTTCTGTGTTTAATATGGTTTTTATGTTGGAAAGACCCCGAGCGTCACTTCTTCAGCCCTCGCTGCTTCATTGATAATTGATCACTTGTCAGCGAATGCATTGATCCGCTCAGAGGCCGGAGGTCAAGCAGGCGAGCACACGGCTGGTCTCGGGTCAGGTGACCCGCAGTGACCCGCTGGCGTGACGGAGCCGATGGAACATTGCGTTGTTTCCACCATTGATCCCCTGCTGGTCACATGACGAGGCTCCCGTCCCGCCCCCTCGACGTCACGCCAGCGTTCACTTCCTTTTTGGTGCAGAAGCTTCCGGATGTCAAGAAACAACCGGAGACACACACACATGTTTCCGTGCTGAAAGACGCACACGCGTGTACATGAACATGGGGGGGGGGCGTCAATGGTCAATGCTGATCCATCTGCTCAGAGTCAAATCCGTGATGCTCGACAGAGGAGACGAGTCTCCGGTTTCCATGGCGACGGTCTGTTCTTCAGCATCTTCAAAGCGTCACAAGACTCTGATGGTTTTTCCGTCTCAGTGGACGTCGGCGTTTTCTGTTGGACTGAAAAGTGTTTGGGATAAACGTAAAGAATTGTAGCATTTTGTTGTACTTTAGTACACAGTAGTATCACACTTACTTTGCGTACTTAAGTAGTATAAATGCTTAAATACGCTCTTTACCACACTGCTCTATGTGCTGTAATGTACTACATACAGAGTATTACACGTGAGGACTTTTCCCCCCCAGTGTCCCCCGCTGCAGAGCGTTTGCGCCACATCCTGGGGGAGGAGGACGGCCCCCCCACGCCCCCCTTGTCCACCGAGATGGACACGCTGCAGCAGGAGGGGGGCGAGTTGGAGTGGAAAGATTTTGCGAGGTGCAAACACACACGTTTCATCGGGGGGGGGGGGCGACAAGGCTTTAACTTAAAGCTACAGGTTGAATCCCGACTGAACCGCCTCCTCCCGGCAGGTGGGTGAAGTTCGAGGAGAAGGTGGAGGAGGGGGGGGAGAGGTGGAGCAAGCCTCACGTCTCCACGCTGACCCTCCACAGCCTGTTTGAGCTGCGCACCTGCCTGCAGACGGGGAGCATCCTGCTCGACC